GAAAGTTGTTTTGGGTGCTTAAGTGAATTCATGTCGTGTATGTTGTGTAAGTTGGAATGATAGATGAGTTGTAAACATGATGGATGCGTTGTATTATGTGTTGAATATGTTTTATGTTATTGAGTTGTTTACGAGTTGTGTGTTGATCAATTATATGTTGAAAAGATGATATTGTTGAAGCATGTTGAAATTACGTTGTGATAGTTGTTTTGTGTTGTGTGTTGACTACTTATATGTTGTGAAATATGATGAGATGATCTAATTGAGATTCGTGAAGTGCATGATGATAATGTTGTGAGTGTTGAACATGATGTGAAGTGTGTAGATGTGTTCAAATTATACAAAAGTTATTAGTAAACTGTGTTGCTAAGTTGTTAGATGAGAGTTTTATGTTGTTATAAAGTTGTATGTTGTACTATGTGTTGAAAAAATATTACTTTGTGATGGTTGAGCTGTAAATTATGAGATGAGATATTGAGTTGTTGAATTGATTGTGTTGTTTAAAGTTGAAATGAATTAATAGTTGAGCTGATGAGATGATAACTGTGTTATTTAAAGTTGAAATGAGTTGATAATTGAGCTGGTGAGATGATAACTGTGTTGTTGTGCTGTGATGATGAGTTGTTGATCATTAGGACTAAAGGAGATGATTTCAAAGTTGTTCATCCCATTGTGTTGATTGAGATAGTTGTATTGCTCTGAGAGCCCAATTTGTTGGAAAACCCTCCTTGGAAATTTTTCCCTTGGAGTGGATGATGTGTTGTTCCCCTCTAGGACTTAGTTGATCTTGTGTGTAGGCAAGGTCGAGGCACGCATGTATGAAGCAACCACGGTATAGGGGTCAGGTTGAGCTATATCGATTATAAGTGGCCAATTCGAGTAAAGTACGAAGTTGGGCACTTAGTTCCTTACCAAGTATTGGAGGGTTGTAGTATTTGGAGGATAGTCAGTAGGTTAATCCCATAGGTGACTTAGTTAAGTTATTAAATGCTGTGGCAGACCTAACCCTAGCTGTCATATCCTGAAATAGTATTATACTTCCTTGTTTAAGTGGCAAAGTCTGAGAAATCATTATCGTGTTTTGAATTTTTATCCAAATTTGCTATTTACCTAACAAGCCCAAAATGATTTTGTGTTGTCGGTTCAGTAAGACCTAACCACTTAGACTGCTCACCCTGTCTTGTATGAGATCTTCGAGTTGAAATACGTGACGACACATATTTGTTGATGAGTTGTATGTGTTGATATGTTTTGAAGATATTGTAAAGTTATGTGTTGTCTATGTGTTGTGTGTTGCATGATGAATAAGCTATTATTGTTGATAGTGATGTTGTGTTGTAGGCTGCTTTTATATTCATATGTTGTACATTTCATATATATGAGTTATTTATTTTCACTAACTTACCCTTGCATGTTTTCATGTGATTTGTATTACAATGATCATATAATGTATGGGAGCTAGACTAGATGATTCTATTTTTTTTTTGTAGACTACATTAGTTGGAGTAGTATTTTTGGTTGACATTGTATATTTTATGGTCTGTTGAGCCACTACTATTAGATAGTTGTAATTTTACTTATGTTGTTGATAGTATATTATTTAGTATATATTTTTTTAATTGATTTTAATTGTTTCTCAGTAATGTAATGGGCAAGGCGGATCGTTATACATTCTCCAAAAAACTTTGATTGAAAAATTCTCTAAATATTTAAAATTTTAAAATAATAAGATTAAAAAAAATATTTTATTTAAAATATTTTACAGATATAAATGATTGAATGATTTAGACGATAATTTAGAAGTTTCATTTGAAACGTGTAATATTACTCATTTTTTTATTCATTTCTTCTCGACCAAATATGACATTAGAGTCGAATCCGATATACAACGCTAATGAGTGGAGTTTGTGATTGATTACCGGCGGTATAAAAACAGTGCCAGAAGAATCATAAACATGCTCATAACATTTTCCTTTTTCTTTTCCCTTTACTCAGGAAGGAGCACACACAAAAGCAAATTTAATTAACAGCTACGAGACTAATCATTACGAATTTAGGATGTTTATAGTCGATAGGATTAAAAATAAATTAGTTAAATCTTGTAAAAAAAAATTTTTTAAAAAAAGTCCTAGTTAGTTAGGTTTTATTTATCGAATTTAGTATATAATGCTCTTTTTTTTAAAAAAAATTACAGAGATGTCCAAATTAATTAGTTTGGATACTCGTTAACTGAATAGGTAAAACAAACGGGAATGGATGAGGTAAAAATCCTTTTGAAGTTTATACCTTCTCAGTTCATAATAAGTGGTCTTACCTTTTTCTCTGTTAAACCCTAATAATGATGAACACATTAGAATATAGTTTTTGAAAAAGTTTAGACAATTATATTTTCTCTAACCTTTTTTCCCATTTTAAAAAACTTGGCGTAACGGCTTTTTATCCAAAGGCGGAAAACCCAGCTAGTACGGAGGCCCACAAGGAGTCATTTTCGTTAATAATTTGGATACCTTTGAGGAATCCAAAGATTGATGAGAACATGTTAATGCACCTTATCTATATTGCCACAGTATTCATTCAAAATTTATTTTATAAAAATTTCTTCTCAACTCTTAAATTTTGGTACCAAATATTCTGCTTCTTTCTATTTTTGAGATCTTGGACTATGTTATGTCTAATTCTGCACCTGTAGCAAGTAATTAAATAATAAATAAAAACATTCTGGTTACCTAAACTTTGTTTACACAGTTATTTGGATTTAACTTCCATCCACATTATTGTACCCAAAGTTTAAAATAGATTTGGGGAAAATTTATTTAGGAGTGATTTTAAGTAGGAAAAATAAGAAAATAAATAAAATACTTTTTATGAATTAAAATTAACTTGTATGTAATTTATAGAATATTTTCTTTTAGTGTTTTCAAAATCTTGATTTTAATTTATGGATAAATTTATTTCAAAATTTTTCTCTTTTTTTTTTTTTTGCTAAAATACTTCTAGAAAAATGTATAGTAAAGTATGATTAAAAAATGGCATGATATATTCAATTGGGCGATATAAAAGTAGGGTGTCCCACGTACATAATTGAATGTTATCGCAATCTTACTTTTTTATCCAATTCTAAACAAACAAATAACTTTTTTTTCATACAATTTTATTACAATAACGACTACAAAATTAAAACTTTAAAATTATATACTCTAATTTCATCACTGATAGTCTGGCTCATGCTTCATACAATGATTATGTAAAGAACCAACACCTATTGAAATAAATGTTCTATTATGTTTGAATTTCTTAGAAGAACACTTCCAGAAAAAATAATTAATTAAGCAATATGAAACACTTACCAAAATATTTTAAGAGTTAATCACTTATATACTGTTAGTGTAAAGTTTTTTTACACTGATAACTAATTATATTTTTTAATAGTGGCATGTCAGTTGCTTATTTAATGAAATAAAAATAAAATAAAATAGTTTAAAAAATGATTGGTTGTTAATGTAAAAAACATTGACAGTATATGAATGATTCACTCATATTTTAATACACTTTATCAAATATTTTAAATTATTTTATAAATAAATATTAAATATATTATATTTTTAATAAAATATTTCATGCTTTTTTTTTTCTTTAATAACACTTGACGGTGATTTTCCTTTTTCCAAATCTAGTAATTCTAAGGCGAGCCAATGGACCAAATCAAATCTAAATTATTTTTACACAATCCATGTTTCATAACCCTATACAGAAATCATTACACTCATTAGTCATCACCCATACATATTTTGCCACCTATAAATACCTGGCGTGATACAAGATAATAATGGCTAATGATGATACATGGAAATGAAAGGAATAAAAATTTCATCCTATTAATCCTTGTAATAATGAAAATATATAAAAATAATTGTATAATAGACCTATCATAACATAACGTATAAATATATCAAATTATTTATTCGTTACTTTAGTTTAATTTTCATGTTAATAATAATAAAAAGCTAACATTCATGTTATTCTTCTCTTTCGTGAATCATTAATTATTTTTGGGCTTAATATTTTTCTTTTAAAAGAATAATAATAATTGTACTAATTATTATGATAAAATAATTTTTAAAATATTATTATTTAATTTGTTAAAAATATGTTTCAATTTAATTTTATATTTACTTTCAAATAATTAATATTTTCATATAAAATAATATATCTTCAAAAAAATTAAAATTTCAAGGTTATATACATAAGTAATTATATAATTCAAAAATGTTTATTTATTTACTAATTACATAAAAAATTCATATATAGACTCACTTCTAATTAGTTGAGAATGGTAAAACGTTACGTGTTTTAAAATTAAAATTATTATATATGATATGAATGTCATTTGATTAAATTCCTCTTGAAAACTCTAAGTATCCTTCCTAATCTCCCTTCCCTCTTCCATTTTTTTACAAGATCTGTTGGAATAAATTGATATCACTTTAGTTTGTGTTTAGAACCAAATTCAAAACATAAATTATTACTCTCTATATCCAATAAAAATAACAAAGATATACTTTATTATTGTAATTCTTGCCTTAGATATAAATCTCATATGTATATTCCAACATGCCCGGCATCCTTAGACACCAAAGCTAATATGTAATGTAAAGTGGTGGCTAAGATGCACTTGGATGCGAAAGGTGAAAGCTACCATGTGAGGTGTTGGCCAAAATGCACGTATACATAGAACATACTATATAAATCATAAAATATAACCTCTTCATTGGTGACTACTTTATCTTAATACAATAGTCATAATAATATATAAACAGTACTAGCTGATTTTATAAAATTGAATCTAAAATCTTCTCCCACCATTTGTTCCGATGCTAACACAATTTATTTTGAAGTCGATCCTACAAAATTTTGATAAAAGCTTGCTTCAAACTCAGTTTTACGTTAATTACGTACTTCCCTTAATAAAAAAAATTAATTAACTAGCTCAAAAGATTTCATTTAAAATTCAAACGCAAGGAAATTAAACAAGCGCCATAAACAACATTAGTCTTACACTAAATTAATTCATACGAGAACTATCTATTACATTGATCCTGTCACTCTTTATTGTGTAAAAGATCAGTTCAAGGCTTGAAGCTCAGCACTAGAAACGGAAAACACATAAAAATGGAGACAGGGCCGAAAGGCAAACAAAGGCAACACAGCTCTATATAATAATAACTTAAACATTTTATATTCATATTGCTTCTTTCAATGGCAATTGGGCTCAAATGCAAGAGGCCCAACAGTGTAGAGCACGAAGGGAAGCTTCTGATAGGAGAAGGGCTTCTCGGGCCTGAGGGTAGAACCCGTGAGACCACCGTGGAGATTAGAGGCCTTAAGCCCATCGGGCGCACTCACCAAAACGACGTTGCATTTGTGAGCTCCGTACGTTGTTATGCTCTTTGGGGCTTCAATGTAGAAGTAGCCGTTCTTGTCGGTCTTCTTGGTTTGAACCAGTTTGTACTTGGTGTTGTTGCATTGGAGCTTCACAACGGCACCTGCAATTTCAAAACTCCACAGTCATCTTTTGTCGTCTACTGACACGGGGCTTAACGTTGTCATTTCGTTTAGGTAAAAGAGTCGCAACATGATGTCCCTATTCTCAGTAACCGTGCATGCAGCTCAGGTAAAACGACAAAACAACTTTATTATAAAGCTTTTGCAATACCACTCTTTTTTCCTTTCCCCCTCTCTCTCTCATACACGGGCCACGTCATCATAGATATGTAAAGAAAGCAACAGCCAGTCAAAGCTAGGTAAAATATTTTGAAAAAAACATAAGCACTCGTTTCGGGGTTTAAAGAGAGATTCTTTTAAAATTTGCTTTTGTAATTAATCATGATGTTCCCCGCAAAGGAAAAATGGCAAGTGAAATGAAATAATTTCAGAGGCTTGAACATGACTATTATTCTTTTGGCATTATAAACAGTTTAATGCATTAGATAAAATGACTAACCAGATCTGAAAAAAAAAAAAAACAATTTTTAAGGCATTGTTTGTTAAAAGATGTTATTTTTGCAGAGTTAGATATTTTATGATGTTAGCAGCAGAAAGGTTGGTTGAGTTGAGACTAACCAAGTAGTGGTGTGGCTCCCAAGAGGGTGTCAACGCCATGATACTTGCAGGACTTGACGTAGACAACACCTTGAACTGCCACAAAGCTTCTAGGGAAGGGGTGCACTGGAACTGGAGGATGAACGGGAACCGGAGGGTGGAGAGGTGGGTGAACGGGAACCGGAGGGTGAAGAGGAGGGTGAACGGGAACCGGAGGGAGAACAGGTGGCTTAACAGGAGCAGGAGCAGGAGGGTGATGGTGGTGGTGGTGAGTGGGAGGTTTAACAGGGGGTGGAGGGTAATGTGGGTGTGTAGGTGTAGGAGCAGTGGGAGTGGGAGTGGGAGGGTAATGGTGGTGGGAAGGAGGGTGAAGAGGCGAAGGAGCGGGGGCAGGAGGGTGGTGGTGGTGGTGGTGGTGTGGAGCATGAGCTGGTGGGTGAGTGGGAGGGTGAGGGTGTGGTGGAGGGGTGTGAGTGTAAGGGGGTGGAAGAGTCTCAAGCTCTTCAGCAGAGACACTGACTAGGAGCAGGAGTGGGAGGAGAAGAACCATTAATGCTGTGGCCTTGGCCATTGCTCCAACAAAGCTAAGCAGAGAGAGAGAGAGAAAGAAAGAAAGTGATGTTGGTGTTGTTAGAGCCTGACAGAGCTTCATTTATAGGGGCTCATGCCCGGATTCTCTGCGCTTTTTCTTCATATATTGTCAATCAAATTTGGAAAATGCTTTCCTTATAATTATTAGTTTTTTTTTTAAATCATGATATTTAAAAGTAGCCATGAATCACCATGAAATATCATCAATGTACAGAATGATAATATTTTTTTTAATATAATCTAGAATTTTAATCGATATAATTAATTTTTATATATTAAATATTAATTATTATTTTACGTGAGAATATTTTTTTTAAAAAAATTGATGAAAAAATTTATTTTAATTTTTTAATTATATTTTTTATTTATTATAATTATTTATAAGTTAAATACTGATGTTTTAAAATAAATTATTAATAAATAGAAATTATTTTATGATATATATTATTTAATTATAAATTTTAAATACGTATAATTTACTTAAAATACAATCCAGTACCATATGTTTGAACCAATATTGTGTAAAACTATAATATTAGACCAGTTCTAGCTAAGTAGCTTAACGTTGCAGAAATGGGATGGGAGTAGAACGAGTGAGAGTGACTATGAGACACGGGAAACTGAAAATATGAAATTCGAGGCTGAATGTTCGGCACATAACTAATTCATTAAAATTAATAACAAAAATTGAGATAGTTAATTTTTATTAATAATATCATAAATTTAAATTTTATATTAAAATAAATTGATGACTCAAATAAATAACTTTTTATTTGTGCTCATTATAAGGTGGAAAAAAAAAGTTTTATGTGCCGAACAATCAATACAATACTAGTATATACCTGAAGTAACATATTACTTTCTGTTACAATTTTTATGAATTTTAATGATCTAATTTTTAGAATTAAAGAAATTGATTAATTTAATTTATAAATTAAATTATTCTAAATTTACTAAATTGATTCTTTAAAAGAATATTTTGAATTTAAAATGCTAAATATAATATATATATTTTAATTCTTTCATTAATTTTATTTATTTATAAAAATATTAATAACACAATATTTAACATGAAATTGAGTTATTATAAGAGTATGCAAATGAAATGGCAGAAGGAATGCACATGCATAGATGCTTTTTATCCAATATTTGGAATTTTGCGCTTCTTCAAGGCATATGTAGAAGTTTCCAAGGACTTCGGTAATAGTTCTGTGTTTTTTTTTATTTTATTATTATACTTACTTTAAATAATTTGTTTTGAGTTTCTAATATGGCATTTATCAGGGAAGAAAACAGAAATGACTTGAACAAGACGAAACCCATCAAAAGGTGTAATTTTCAAACACGAAAGAGGCGACATGGAATGATGGAAAGACAAGAGTATGTAATACTTTTTTAAAAATTTTAACATGATTAACTAAAATTAATTAAACATTATTGAATAAAAAAACTCTTAATTTATATTTTTAAATATGTTTTCATTTCTATAATTTTGATATCTGTAAAATTATTTTTTAAAACAGTTTTTTAATTTTTAATTTTATTTTTGTTATTTTATTTTAGTATTTTAATATATCTATTTTCATTTTTTTTAGGTTCGTTCCTAGAGTATCCACCGCCGACAGCAGTGACTAATCTCCTCGCTACGTTGGAGGCACCTCAAAGGGTGGGATAACTAGGGTGGGATAACTGGCCCCAAGATTTAACGCGGCTGCATACACAAGGTAGGATTCGAACCCCTGACCTTGCTTAAGCGTGGATCAACCCCTACCGCTGAACCACACGCTTGGGGTTTATCTATTTTTATTTTAAAACTTATAATATTTTGTTCATTTTAAATTAATCCCTTTAAAAATGATAAGGAATAAAAATTATTTTTTTCACATATTAAAAAGATAAAAGTAAATATATTATAAGAATTAGAACAAAATAACAAAACTAAAATAAAATATTGCAAAGTATATTTAAAAAATTAATTTTATAAAAACTAAAGAATATTACGTAATAAAAAATGGAAAAATTATGACATGCGGTAATAAAATATTTTAGTTTAATTTTTTTCGTCGACAAAACAAGGGATAAAATTAAAAATATTCATAAATGTCATAAATAAATTAGTGATATTTTTTAGTAAGTGAGATTATATATATATATATATATATATATATTCATTTATATTATGTTTGGAAGGATAAAAAAAGGCTTAAATATATTTTTAGTTCCTTAAATTTAAAATAAATTTATTTTTGGTCTCTCAAATTTAAAATTGTTATTTTTAGTCCCTGTAATTTTCAAAAATCTTGTTTTAGCCCTTAAGTCACCAATAACATATTTGAAAGTGACTAATTAAGACAGTTATGCAATATCAACCGAATTTAATATGATATTTTCACTAATAGAAACACTAATAGGTAAATTTTATGCAATAATATTTGCCAAATTTCTTAACAAAATTTGAATATAACGACTAAAATAAGATTTTTTGAAATTACATGGACTAAAAACAATAATTTTAAATTCGAGGGACCAAAAATAGATTTACCCTAAATTTGAGGAACTAAAAACATATTTAAACAAAAAAAATAACAAACTTGGTATTTAGTAATAGTTGAAACCAAGGGCAACAACAATAACAAATAATAAAGTACGAGATGATAGGTTACGAGACCAAATCATCAAAGACGCAATAAGAGCTACACAACTTTCACAACAGCTAATCTTAACTTTAAATTTATAATCATAACTCTATAAACGAACACAAAAGGGTTAAAAAATTATTACTATTATTATATTATATTTTATTATTTTATAATACATTAAAAATTTGTAGATCAAAATTAGTTTAAATTATTTCACTTATTAGTTAAATTGGTTGACTCGTAAGCATGTGGGCCATCCTGACCTAGACATATTTGACCTATTAGACTAAGTAGATTAGGTCAAAATAGTTTATTTTTGTTTAGGTCATCCTTTTTGAGGTCCAATCTGGTCTTATTTACAGGTTGATCGGCTCAACCCATTGGATTGGGCTCAAATTAACAACTTTATCCAAAACTACTATAACGCCATTCTATTTAAATTTGAGTTATAAAAAGATATAACTTAAGTATGGGAGAGTTGACTCGGGAGGGTTGAGGAATATAAGGCGAATCTTGAAGAATGAACTTCATAAGTTCATAACTCTAAAGTTTTAAAAAGAAGTTAGAAACGGGAACTCTGGATCTTGAGATTCTTCCTTCCTCTCCTTAACCTTTTTGAGGGTGTAAAGATTGTGGTTGGGTATTAGAGTGGTTATTCAAAGCCATATAGCTTAAAATTAGGGTGGTTTCAATGTTATATAGAGGTTCTATGTGAAGTTTATTGTAACGACCCTCCATGACCGTCACACTATGCAACACACGTCTAGATATGCAATATACATATACTAAAGCAGTAGTATAATATAAGCATTCTACATCTCCAGTTTATGTATAACCATATACATAAATATCTACTCAAAACATCTAAAATCAGCTAGTAGGCTTCAAAATAAAATCCATCTCTGAGTACCACATTTGGCTCTACTTCTACTCTCCAGCCTATCCCTGCTCTGCTCCCATACATAGTATGATTATAGCATTCCAAACCACATGGAAACACACAAGGGTAAGCTAGTGAAAAGAATCAACATATATATTTAAACAACTTACAACTCAACAACAGAAATCACCTTTTCAACAATTCAACATTCAACACATAACAACACCCAACTCAATCACAACTTCTCAACATCACAACATATATACAACTCAATCAACACAAGGTCAACACATCAACAACTTATGTGTCATCACACATTTCAACTCGGAGATCTCCTACAACACAGGGTGAGCAGTCTAAGTGGCTAGGTCCTACCGAACTGACAACACAAAACCTTTTTGGGCTTTGGGCTTGCTAGGTAAACAGTAAATTTGGATATCAATCCACAACACGATAACGATTTCTCAGACTTTGCCACTTAAACAAGGTTTAGGCCACATATGCTACATACCACTACATTAGGTTTAGTACTCTGTTAGGATAGAACAACTAGGTTTAGGCCTACCACTACATTAGCTAGCTCAACTAAGCCACATATGGAATTAGCCTACCGACTATCCTCTAAATACTACAAGGCTCCGATACTCGGTTAGGAACTAAGTTCCTGTCTTTGTACTTTACTCGGATTGGCCGCTTGTAGTCGGTGTAGCTCGACCTGGCCCCTATACCGTGGTCGCTTCATACATGTGTGCCTCGACCTTGCCCACACACGGAATCAACTAAGTCTTAGAAGAGAACAACACATCATCCACTCTAAGGGACAACTTCCCAAAGAGAGTTTTTCAACAAATTGGGCTCTCAGAGCACCGCAACTACCTCAATCCACACAATGGGATGAGTAACTTTGAAAATATCTCCTCTAATCTTAGTGATCAACCACTCATCATCACAACACAATCAACACACAACTCAATAGCACGGTTCAGCTCAACAACTCAGATAACAACACAACATCTCATTATAGTTTCAGCACAACAACAACTCAGTCACTACACAACTTTTCAACTCATATCATCTTCACTCAGCTACTCAACTACACAGGTAATTTACAACACTATGTTAAACATGCATTTCAATGACATCAACATTGTTTATATAATATCCCAATATAACTACTCAACTTTGCAACACAATTATCAACATAGTCTTCTCATCATACTACAACAATCATTATTATTCAACACTTTATCGCTTATATCGGCACAGACACATTTGCATCACATAATGCAACTCATACTACAAATTTACAGCTCATTTATCAAGTCAAATTACTCATATAAACAACATACATCAACCTAAACACCGAAAATAAATTTCAACTTAACCAAATCACTTATTGTGAAATGGCAGCCTTCACATAAAACTGCATAAATGAAATTATACTGCTCCTGTCATCCTTTTCCTTAGCTCAAATAAAAGATAAGAAGCTTTTCTACAATTCTCATGAAGACATCAAGTCTTAAT